TGACTATTGGTCCAGTCAGGGCTCGAACCCTCGACCTCCCGCACATCACAATCCGGCGTTCTAACCAGTTGAGCTTACAGGGAGGCGGTTATAAAACTTTTGGGTCTTAAGAAAAAAACGAGAGAGAAATCCGGAAATGGTCAACCATGGTAAAGCAGGCTGTTTCAGCCCATCAGAACGCAGTTATACAGAAAATTTATCATAAATCAAGACATCATCACAAACATAGAACAAAGATTAACGAGATACACTGACATGTTTACAAACAATACTATGATGTTATATTTCACTGTCTTATTTATTGAAATAATTCTGGATACTGCACTTAAGTGCGATTCAAATAAATGATCCTCTAAAAACAAAATAGTTTATAACTCCTGTGGTTTAATAAAAGTTCCTTGCCACATCCCAAGCGAAGGTTAAATCAATGAAACTCAATGATGTTTGTTACATTTCAAAGAGCCTTCATAACAAACTCTTAAGAGTGAATGTTACCAATGGTCAAACATATGGTGGCAAAAGCCAAAAAATCGATTCGGCTCAGATTCTCAAGTTAGGTAGGCCTTATGGTGAAACAAAGTACTGCATACTTCGCCGGTTTGGCTGAATATCGAATCATATTCGAGAAAATCGATAACAACTGAATTTCGCCCAAACGCCGCTTTTGAGGCTCAAAATTTCAGACAAATCTCGAAGCGTCACATCACTAATTGAAAACACTTGGACCAATAAAAACTACCAAATCTTGAAAAACAACATCAATCATATGTTGACGGCAATTTGAGCAATTCTTGATCGTTCATTTACAAAATCTAATTGAATTTTACTGACCTTCTTCTAAAAAGATTAAAAATAGACGAGTTACCCGTTATTTAACTATGTGTTATACAAAATAATCGACCCCAAAATCTGGCTTTTGGAAGGTGAAGTGTGGTTCTTCTCGATCTCCAAAGGATTTTTTGGGGTAATGATTCAGTGCGATTTAATAATCAAATTTTAAAGCTGGATAAAAAGAGCTGATTTGACGTTGCCGTCAGTTATTCGAAAATGTTCGCATTCACACACAAACTCAATTGTTTCGCATTTTAAATCCAATCTACAGCTTATTTAACATGATATCATCTTACCGTCCATATTGCTGTATCACAAAAGGGGATTGCAGCCCTAAAATTGTTGCATTGCTCCCTCAATAACAAAAGAACTTGGCAGGATAGTCAACACCTCTTGATAATGATTGTTTAAAAAAGCGTATCTCGGGGTTTCTCAATTCCCACTTCGTTGAAATACTTCGTGAAAGAGATCTTTGTTTAAATATAAGTCTACAACCAAACCGTGAAATAAATGTAAGGGGAATGTTGCTAGTTCAGAAAAATGTTTCTCGCGTGCAGAATAACGCTAATTAATTCAAGATGAGGTCTACTGAAATAAAACGCAAAAATAAAACATTGGACTATGAAGCATGTGGCTACAGGAACTAAGGTCGTGTGTTACATATACGAAACAGGAGCAAACAATTATCTTACTCCGATCATAATTTAATGTATCATAATTGAATGTTTCATGGTACTTCGAGGAATTAAGCTCATTTTAGGACAAAAAAAGAGCGAAAGATCTGCAAAGGGCATAGCCCATCATACATTACTGTAGATGTGCGATAAAGAAAAGTGTACTGTTTGAATATTTGTTTATTTAAAGGAATTTTTATAAGGGTCAAACCTGGAAAACCACAACTTTCGCTGAAATGTTTGTAAAGGCCAACGTTCAACAACTTTATATTTATAGCACTTCTTCTCCAGAGGCCACTGTGCCTTGTTAAGTTACTCGTGCCGGTAGTAAGACTATTTTCTATATTTTTTTCCTATTTTCTAAAGATTTGTACATTGTGCAGGTGGAAGAACAATAGGACCCGTAGTCCCCTACCAGGTTCATCCACCTAAACCCAACCCGCCCATCCCACCCCGGGGAAGTACATCCATCACACACTAATCTCGTGGGTGGGAAATTGACGTCTCCTACCCCTCCTGCAGGAGACGGGACCCCCATTTATTCGTCCCTATCTGAGAAGGCTTGAATATCTAACAAAGATCTCTTACGTGAAGTAATTACAGCCTCCTTTTCAACGAAATAGAAAGAGAGTAACCCTGAGATACGATTTGTAAACAATCATTATCAGGAGGTGTTGACTATTCTGCCAAGTTATATCGCTATTACGGGAGCGATGCAACAATTTCAGGACTGCGATCCCCTTTTGTGGTACAGCAATATGGACGGTAAGATGATATAATATTAATTATTAAAAACTGGATCATTGGATAATGCAATTCAAGACTTTTCATTGGCTTAGCCATTATGGTATATGAGCCAATATACCATAAAGTACGATATGGTAAGCGTATGCATAAGCTTAAAATTGAAAGTGAGCTAAAAATATAATAAAATTTAATAATGTAATGTAGCGTTTTTAATAAAACAATTATTCCACTCGCGTTTGTTGGATATGAGATGATTATAGCCAACTCGGCGCTACGCGCCTCGTTGGCTATCTATCATCTCATATCCAACGCGCGCTCGTGGAATAATTGTTAAATAAGCTGTAGATTGGATGTAAAATGCGAAACAATCGAGTTTGCGTGTGAATGTCTACATTTTCTAATAACTGACGGTATCGTCAAATCAGCTCATTTTATCCAACTTTAAAATTTGATTTAATCGCACTGAATCATTTCCCCAAAAAATCCTTTGGAGATCGAAAAGAACCACACTTCGCCTTCCAAAAGTTAAATCACGGGTTACTTTTCACCTATTCTTAATCTTGTTAGAAGAAGGTCGGATAAATTCAATTACGTTGTGTAAATAAATGATCTAGAATTGCTCAAATTGCTGTCAAACTATGTATTAACGTTGTTTTTCAAGATTTGGTAGTTTTATAGGTCCAAGTGTTTTCCATTCGTGGCGCGACGCTCCGAGATTCGTCGGAAATTTTGAGCTTCAAAAGCGACTGATTTAGGCGAAATTCAGCTTTTATCGATTTTCTCGATAATAAATCGATATTCAGCCAAACGAAGCATGCAGTACTTTGTTTCACCACAAGGCCTACCTAACTTGAGAATATGAGCCGAATCGATTTTTCGGCTGTTCCCACCATATTTTGAAAATGTTCGATTTTTGGCTACATTTGCTCTTAAAGGCCTATCCTCAACATGCCTGCCTTGCACTTCCCACCAAACTGTCCTCCATGCCTCAAATGCCGTATTTCCTTGTTGAAAGCGCGAAATTTAAAATTTGGGCTATAACCAGTGGAACTCATTGGAAGGAGGGCGCTTAATTGAGCAGAACGTTGTTGTCGTTGCCGAATGACAATTGTACTCAAATTATTCGATTTTTTTTTTAATAACTTTATTCGCTCACGATACTCAAAACTCAACTCAGCTCTCTTCTAAAACACGAGCACGAGGCCCATAGCAACGAGCCGACCTGTCAATTTACATAGCAACGCCAAAAAATAAATAAATAGATAAATATTTAAATAAATAAATAAATGAACATGTTCAGGAAGCGGGAGGGACAGCTGTACTGACTCCGCCGTAGTTGAAACTTAAAAGTTATATATCAAATGGCAATAAAAAGACAAGTTTTTCGTATATTCCTACTATTTAAAAAAGTGAAGTAATAGGGAGGGATATTTATTCCAAAGGAGCGCCTGTTTGACATTATAGTCCAAGGGGTGGTTGCATTTCGGGAAAGAACCCTTACTACAGGAATACGGCATGAAAACTGGACAATGACAGGATATAAGTCTTTAGTTACCTCTAGCTCGATATGTTTGTTGCGTAATCATTTAGGAGTGTAAGTTAACCGAATGTGTTTAGCTCAAGAGGCGTCTACAACACTTAGAGTATCTCATTCCTGACGTTCTAGGCAAAAAATACTTCAGAAACATGGTCTTACCACTAAAACAGGAAAATCCATCTTTAATGTATCCGGCGCCACATCTGCAATTGTGCGAACCACGTTCGTTGAAACACGTTTCAAGGCTGTAACAATAATTCAACTCCTTTTGACATTCGTTTAAATCTAGAGAGTAGAATGGCATAATGCATATAAGTCCTTATGAAGTCCCCAACAAGCATAACACCAGCATTACCACCAGCAACCTTGCCAATTTACTTTTGTTCTCCTATTGAGAGCAAAGTGACCTTTTTGCAGCTATTTCTCATAATGTTTATCCTTGTACAGTTCTTCGTGGACACCTACAATTTATCCTATGACTCAGTATTAAGGGTGGATTGAAATGAACACCGGAGCATGCCATTCAGAGGAAGGAGTAACAATACGCTAATTTACTTTGAGCCTAAAATATATTTTGGGCGAAATGTGTCGCTTAGTTCGTAAAACACTACCAAACTTTAAAATCAAACCTAAACAATGTCTTTGATATGTTTGACTTACCTTTCTTACAAGTAAACCGCTGACAATCACTACACTGCACGTCATTCCATTCATAGTTGTGTTTCATACCGAGTGCAAGTACACAATCTTCTTTTATGAAATTATTCGGCTGATTCTCGGCCCAGGATGTAAAGTTTCCAAGTCCACGATCAACCCAACTAAAATTGCCCTCTTTTGATCTGTCATTCAATCCCAGCCAGGATTTATCTCCATTATGGAGGTGCTGTATGTAAACATTTTCTTCATTGTTGTTGACATCGATCAGGACTGAGTCTTCTTGTCTACATTTTGGTACTGCTGTGGTCCAATCTGTACAGGTATCACTTGTGAAGTAACAGAATCCATTGAAGAAGCTCCATCAGGTATCACAGATATCTGGAAATCAATGTGTAATTAAATCTTGAAAAGAGTAACGGACATTCATTATTCATTAAGTTTGAAGTCTAGGGAAGTATTTGTATCTTTCTGTCAAGATATTGTTGCAATCTAGCCCCCAAAAGATTAATTGCATTATTTGGTACAATTATTGACCTGTGAGGATTGCATAACTCACTGAAACAGGATCATATCTGGTTTCGTACAATTCCTTGACACATACTCTGAATCCAGACACATTCATGTTCTGAAAACAGTTTAAAGTAATCTTGACAAAGCAATCTGCATATCAAGCTCATTAAGAAAAACATTTCTAGGCTTTCTTGACCTTAGAACCTAATAAAAACAAGTTCCGGCCAGTGATATGTATCTCTTTCGAGTTCTAGCTTTGTCAGTTTTATGCAGTATAATTGTCATCCAGGTGGAAATGTAAACCGCGAATTATTAAAGCAGAAGATCGGAGAAAATGTTTTGGTAATCTTTGATAACAAGGAGCTATATCCAAGCTTACTAGTCTTCACATTCGGAAGTATTCCGAGACCTGGGCTGTTTACCTCAATCCACGTAGAAATACCGTTGTGAACTGGTGCCAAGTTTCCACTTGCTGTTGTGCTGTGAGTGGCAGATATTTGGACAGATGGTGTTGCATTGTAACTTCGTGTAAAGTGCACAAACTGTCAGTAGAACAGAAAAGCAAAAATGTAATAAAGGAATCTTGCATAGCTATTATCCAAATAATTGTCGTTAACTATTTTCAGTTTCCTTACTGAAAAAGTTCATTCTGTCTAAAGATCACTCAAAACTCACCTCGCAGTAGGCATTGTTGTCTTCATCTCTTGGCGGATTTGTGTTTGCAAAGTTTACAGAGCCATATTCAGTGAAGAACGGTTTATGCAGCCTAGCAAAGGCCAACCAGGTCTGTGAAGATCCAATGCAAAAAGATAACTCTAAAAGCCTTACTTGTAGTTAGAACAATAACGCATTATCAATGAGCTGCAAATGATATCATACAGAAAATGGACCTTGAAATTGTATGAAAAAATGAATGAAATTTAAATTATTCCTCTTACTCAAAGGGACTGACAAACAATGTCCTCAATCTTATAGCGTTATCGATCCTGCCGCAGTTGTATTCGGAGAAAGGATAAGACGTACCACATATATATCTTCATGCTTGCCATCAAAGTCTTGCAACTCTCGCAAACAAGCCTTGAACGAGTCCTTGGTTACGTCTTCTGTCCAGATCAATGCGACATCATGTTCCTTCCCACTTCTTTGGTGATTGGACGTCACAAGTACATTTGGCGAATCGTAAAACTTGTCGTATACGCATGTGAGGAAATTATATCAAATAACATCTTAGTTCACTTTTGAAACTGTGAGTGAGTTTGATGTAAATTGATGACAATCAAGTAATCGTAAACAATCTTAATTTCCAATAGAGTCGAATATCAAATTATATTAAAAGTTCAGAAATTACAATGCGTTTTTACCTGAAGATGTTTTTTCTTTCATTATTAACCTTTTTAAGCCCTAAAAACGACCTTGCGTCTCCTAGATAAAAAGTAATAATTATACTGATAAATGGTTACCAATTAATGGTAACCTACCTTTGGAAAAGTGACATCTGCGCAATTCGTTCCCGACCACCATTTTGTCATTTTGATTCTTCCCGTCGTTCCCTTGGGTGGGGCTCCTTGATAAGCCATCCAATCAATGGTAGCGAAAGGATTAATGTTGTTTCCATTTCTGCCAGACTGCATCGCGCAGACTGTAAAATTTTGCGTATTTACTTTTTCAGTCCAATATGTGATGGCATGGTGCACTGTCACGGAATCATTCAGGTTCATGTGATTTAGGGTGATCTGTACTTGTACTTCTTCGTTCGGATAAATGCGGTATGGTGGGAATACCACTGTCTTGCAGCTAGATTCTGGACATTTGGAAACTGGAAGGAGCTTAACACGACCATGAACTATTGCAAAGCCTGCAAAGATTTAAAACAACGGAGTCGTTACTCTGTAATAGCCAAATTTATGTTCACTGTTACACCTTAGGTTGCTGACGATTTCCGAGAGTTTGTGTGGCGATGTTATCATGTTCATGTGTCTAGGAGAACAAAGTTCCTGTTCATTTTTCCCGAGACTCGTTTCTACAAACGAGTCTCGTTTCTAAAAACGAGTCTCGTTTCTAAAAACGAGTCTCGTTTCTAAAAACGAGTCTCGTTTCTAAAAACGAGTCTCGTTCCTAAACGAGTCTCGTTTCTATTCACAAACAAACGAGTCTCGCTTTAAATCGTTTATCGAGTGACTTATAAATCGTGACGATTTAAAATCGACTGGTTGCCCAGAAACTGTGAGTGATCCGAATTTTCTTGAAATGTAGCCCTACCCTCACAGGTGCCAGGATGATACAAAGTGTTATTTTCCAGACCCTTGCACTGACTCGACCTGTAGAGGCATTCGTTGTCGTACGTTGTCCCACCTTCTGTGCAGACTGGATTTTGATACGAAGGGCAGTTTTCGTTACACACTCAGCGTGTGTCATAGGCGCTGTAGGTTTTGCAAGCTCCCAATAACGGGCAAAACACATTTAGGCAGGGATCTAGGTCTGTGAATGTGAAGCAAAATAATAGTTACATCAGAATTAACGAAAGAAAGCAAAGGTAAATTGCAGAATGATAACACTAGCACCTTCCGGCCGAACACTAACCTCCAATAACGACGTAGCTAACCGACAGAGGGTCGTGTTTGCTTCCTGTTCCGCTCAAATCTTTGACGCAAATCTTCATGGATGTGAGGCTAACTTCCTACACAGAGAGACCACACGGTAAAACAAGAGCAGAAAAAAAGGCCAACATAAAGATGAACTGCTCAATGTACCTCAACCCAGGCTGATATAATGTTGTTTTTCGGTGAAATGAGGCTCTTCGTGCTGACTTGAATGTTGTACATATGCTGCACAGACACAAGGATAACTGGTAAGGCATAAAAAGTTGTGTTGGACGGCACTTCCTGTAAAAATAAGAGAGAAATAAGACGATTTGAGATTGAGATAATTCGTATTGCACTATTTCTGTTTGGAAGTGAACTCCCCAAAATCTTTCACCAAGGAACCGCACCTCCAAGTTCACAAAGAATTATAGTAATTTACACTCACTTGACAGAAACCATAATTGTCTTCTGCTGTCGGCGGAAAACTGTTTGGAAAATACTTTTCCCCTGACAGCGTGAAACTGAATTCAGAGCCAGCGCCAAAAAACGCGAACCAGTCCTGCAATAAACAAATACAGAGCAAGTGTTGCCGTCAGACAGAATAACAACACAAACGACTCGCACGTGTACCACTGAAAACTTCAAGAGCGTATGTCTTACCACAGTGGTGTCGTTATGTTTTCCATTGATTCCCGGATGCACACCTCAAAACTTCTGGAATTTACGTTTTCCAACCAAACATACATTGCGTCATCTGGTTTTGTGTCGCGTGTGTATCTTGCTGACACAAACACGAAAGGTCTTCTGGGAAAACTCTGTTATGTTATCAAAGCATCACTTTACAATTTAAGAACAAATTTCGCGTGGCCACACAACGTATGTAAGATAAAGTCTGTTTACGAGCCTAGTGGCCCATCAGGCAGGTTTCTGTAGCATGATGCGACTAGGAGTATTTCTTCTCCCCCCCTGGATGGGATGCCAGTCCATCGCAGGGTTACCCCCAGCGTTAATCCATCGCAGGGTTACCCCCCAACATTAATTGCCGGTACCCAGTTAAACACCTGGGTGAAGAGAGGCACTGTGAGAGTAAAGTGTCTTGCCTAAGAACACAACACAATGTCCCGGCCGGGGCTCGAACCCGGACCACTCGATCCGGAGTCGAGCGCACCAACCATGAGGCCACCGTGCCTCCACTATACAACGTATGTGGGCTCTGAAATTAGAATGGCTACCAACTTGTCTTTTACAACTTGAGAGGAGAAACTCTAAGTATCCATTTATTCTTATCCGTCACCAGATTTGGGTATTGTCATGATCGTCCACAAGATTACAAAATGTAAATTGCCAACTCAGAAATGGAAACTTGTCCAAAATAATGTATATATGTTCATAACCAAGAACATCAAATAGGCTTAAAGACCTTGATAGCTTAAACATTTTTGGACTTTGAACCTCAACATTTTTCCTAACCTGTGAGAAGGTAACTTTGTCACACTTAGTTTCTGTTGTCCATATGCCATCAAAAGCCGCTCTGCCAAGAGTAATTTTTGGATGATCTTGGAAAGCCAGCCAGTTGATGATTCCGGTCCCATCAGATCCAATACCTAACTCACGCGAGCACACCTTAAAGCCAAGTGCGCTAACGGACTGAACCCACATAGCTGAGGGTGAGTGGACACGTGAGAACATCTCACCATGACTTACTGTCTCGTGAACGTTAACCTGTAATTTCGAAGGTAAAGCGCTAAAAGTGAAATTCCGTAGCTTTTGTTAAAACAAATGGTAAAAGCGGAAGTAAACAATCTCGGTGAGGGCATGACCCGTTTTGTTCCGTTATTCTTTGCGTTTATTTAAGTGGTTTCTGCCCTTGTTATTGGATTGCTTCCCTCAGCTCCTCATGGAATCAGGCCATTAAGCTCCTCGTCATTGAAGAATTATCATTGATGGCCCCATTACAGTGGAGGAGAGGATTAACTGCTTAAAAAGGTGATAAACTGACGTCTTAAAGCAAGACATAGGACTAAAGAACATAATATGAGCATGAGAAGGTATCTGCTTACAATGAAGCAACGAAAGAAATTTATCCCGAATGCGATCCCACTAAATTATTCTCAGGCTTTGCGTAGCTTAATGCATTCGCAGTCATCCCTCGGCCTGTTGATATAGGATAGAGTTTCTTCATCCGCAAGAAAGGGTGTAAACTAGAACTATACAAGAGTACTCACTGTTCCGGATCCCTTGAATGCATCAGGGAATACAATGTTTGTGCAACGAGACAATCGACAATATTGAGGGGGTGAACATCCACTGCTGCAGCTCCAATCTTGCAGATTTTGGGAAATGTTAAGCCTACCAGTTTGGAGTGGAATACCTTAAGGTAAGGAAAAGTACATCATTACGGTTTTCTAAAAAAATCCCGAAATTAATTTAGTACAGTTTTACTTTTGCGTGACGACTATTCCATGCACTGCGATTCGCAAAATGTGTCCACATGACACTTTATGACCTTATAAGGTGAAGTAGGAGAAATTATGCGACAAGTTTGTGCTTGCCTGTTTAGTAACGTGGCATGTCTTTTCATCGATAGAAATATGAAAAGTTAATCGTGCTAGTTCAGCAGTGATACTTTTAGAGCAAAGGTTTCCTTTCTGTTTTTAAAGATCCATTGTTAGAAAGTTGATATCAAACGAATCGCCAAAACATATGTTGACTTGATGACTTACCTATTCGTGAGGGTCAAAATTTTGGTGAAAACGTTTTTCATAGAATACATCATCAATCCAATCAACGCTTGAAGTGCAATTGTCAATAGCAATTTGTAATTCCAAGGGTCGTGTTTTGAAATCGACCCCTGAAGTGCAAGAATAAAACCGAGCTCTAGCCAGCTAAGCTATTAAGTTTCGTTGAAAGACGTCCTTTGGACATTAATAGGGACTTTAAGAAACGAGAGCGGGGACGGCGACGGGGACTCCTAAACCCGCATAAGACTGGGGAGAGAACGCCGTCGTGGCGGGAATTTCTAAACAGTTAAGCA